GGTGAGAATGCAATCCATGATTCACCAAAAAATGCACAAGATGAAACAAAATCATTTCCCTGTTTATATTGCTCAAGAAAATTCCACAGTTCACAAGCTTTAGGAGGCCATCAAAATGCTCACAAGAAAGAGAGAAATGCAGCAAGAAAGAACAAAAGGGCTTCTGAATACAAGTTTCCTTCACTCTCAGTACCATCACCATTCTTACTTTCTCCCAGTTATCCCATTGGAATTTTGAGCCCTTCAGCCTATATTACTGCTCATGCTGCCGCCCTTTGCCAGTTCCAGAACCACCAGTTTAGATCAAATGGCGCTGCCCCACGATTTGAAAATGCCGTAATAAATCGTAATAACTATTTGAATAATGTGTATCAATGTGAAGCAGATGATCAGAGCTTCAAGAACTGGCAAAGGAGTGTAAGATGCCATGTATTTAATGAAGAATTATCAAAACAGACTTATAATCACAGCATTAGGGGAGATGAGGAGAGGACAAAAGATCAGAAGAATCTTGATTTGTCTCTTCATTTATAGACAAGCAAGGATTTTTGGTTTGATTCCATTGCACTTAACTATGGCAGAACTCTTTTTGTTCCAACAGCCATGTGTTTTGCTTCCATTTTTTAAAGTATTTTTAGATTTGCATTTAATTTTTTGTTTGTTGATCAATAAAGAATTTGGTGGTGGTGTCAGAATTTTGGTTTTGATTGAATCATTCCTATACTTTTTCTTATTTCCTCATGTTGTTGACATTGTTATGGATGAAAAATGAAAAATCAAAAGACAAGTAAAAATGTATGATTCAGAGTGATCCACACTTAACACGAACAATATTCACTTATTTTTTGAGGTTTCACCGATAAAGAAGAAAAAAGGATTACAAATTATAGAATAGTGAGATTCCATTCCAAAAGGTTAATCTATTAAGTGTAGCAAACCATTCTCGTTAAAAATCAAAAAATCCATTTTTATCTCTATTTAGTTAGTGAATTTTGTTTCTAATTTCTCAACATTTATCAGCGTATTTAATATCAATTTTCGGGCACATCATAAAAATGTTTGCAATTTTGTTTTCTGAGAAACCCAGTACAAAATATATAAATAAATTTTGC